CATTGCTCAGTACTGGTTGGTTCCAGGAACGGGTTCGAAAGTGTGTCTATAAGTTTATAGCTTCCTACACAGTCGTACTAAAATAAATTCTGTGTAAACCAAACATTATTTTAATAGATATATAAATAACACATTTGTTTATTAAACCATACCTTATTTTTAGGGCCTTTGATATATTATTTTTTCATCTGTGGATCCAAATTGACTAAAAAGAAGATAACAGACACTATTTTCATAAATTATGTCACACATTTAAATGTATTAAACAATATCTAATTTTTAGAGTCTTTGATATAATAATGGATTTTCTTTTATGCCTTTTTATCTTTGAATTTATATATTATATACAGATATATTAAATCATACATCCACAGCGGGGCCATTGTTTAAGATTCTATATTCCTTTGAGAGAGCAGTGCTGTTTTTAACTGCGTCTAGCTATAGTTACATATAAAGTCATATTACAACATGTACAATGAAATACAGTATTCTAATATTTTACACCACGCGGTGATTTGAAATTAATCTTTAGCACAGTATGATGATATAGTGCTACCATGGGAACAAACAAAGTCATAAAAATAGCACAAGTTCTTTTATTACTTGCTATTAGAATGTTCTATTTCAGACTTATTTTAATCAGCTTCATATATCAATGTGGCATGTATATTTTAGTGAAGTTAAATTTAAAAATCTTTTAGCTTGTTGTTTTTTAAAAACAAATTGTGACTTAAATCTTGGGAGTGGGTTTTTCATTATGTATCGGAAAGTCCCGAATGTAAACTTCGGATAACCATATTTAATTTGCTCAGTTCAAACCGTTTGTGACTGGTGAAATTGCTTAAGAACTACCGAAGCAATAAATTGACGCAACTAGGTCTTTATTGAACATCTGTTTTAATATTTTTTACAGATTATATTATAAAACAAACGCTGTATCTTTTTTATCTATGTCTGATAATTAGATAGCAGTTTAACAGAAGCTGGTGTAATATCAAAAAGCAGATCATAAAGTTATAAACACTTCTGAAGTTTGAAAACTTTTAAAATTGTTTGATATTTCAACTTAACATTTAAATGCATCTGAGGAATCACGACTTTTCCATACTTTAATATTCTGTAAAGGAATCAGAAAAAGATGATATAAAAATATTTGTAAATCGTTTGTATTGTATAAGCTGTAGCTTTATTTAACAATTCTATTGCAAATAACCCTTTTTAATGTAGTTTATTATAACACCTCAACATTACAGAAGTCACGGGGAGAGAAAAAATGCAGTCTGACCTGGACTCAAACCAGGGACCCTCGAAATACCGGACCTATGGACTGAGCTTACAATATTATTCCCCTTAAAAGTATACAATTCTTAAACTGTGACACAGGTATAACCCTAACAGTAGAGGCGTAAGGAGATATAAGTATATATATAAGTTTTTATTCTGCTTTTTTGTCATTTGAAGGTGCATGCACGTAAACTAGGATTTATCCATTAATGAATAGCCCATCATTCAACCTTCATCTGTTTCTACTTGTTGTTTTATTGACTATTTATTAAACAGTCAAAAATATCAGAAAAGAAGAAATATTCAAATTAGAAATACCTAAATCATTAACTTTTTTTATTATAAGTGACTCGATTCAATACTTAAAACTTTTGAGAAAAAACAAAAAGGCAAACTTAACTGAAGCAGATCTATGAGATATGTTCACTTTATATCATTTTGCTTATATTTTACCTGTTCACCAATGCATAATGTTTCAAAATTTCTTTAACCTGTCATCAATTTGCACCAGATTCTGATAATTATGTTGATTTGCTGCAATACATTTTGTTTGCACAAAGCTGTTCTAAAACTTTTGACTTTTGGCCGAGCACGAAGGATACTCGAAAATGGGAGAGAAGGTTTTGTTAAACATTGTACTGTACATTGGAACGAAGATGAGTTTTATTTTAAGTGAAGGTTGAATTCTATGAAAGGTCAGGGTGCATGCACTCCTAATAATGTTAGTGGCTCTGGATTATTGGATATGCGATTTGGTGTATTTTTAGTACAAAGAAATAATACAAATTACAGGTTTCCAAAATAATTAATATTGTTTCCTGTAAAAGAGTGTAGGCTGCGGCAGTCAATGTCTGTTAGAAACTTCGTCACTTGGATGATATGAAAGTTTAAAAATAGAAAACATCGTTATTTTTAAAATTTCTTTAAAGGATTACTTGACAAAACGTCTATTTTCGCAATGGGGTATAATGGTTAGTGGAAGAATAAACAATAGGTGATTTTGGCCCAATGGGAAATGTCTCTTATTGCCAACTCATTACCTATTTTAACAACATCTTTTATTCTGTAAATATAGATGTATACATGTAAAATTACAGAACGAATATTACTAATTGATGTTTTGATTAAGTGAAAATTAGCCATTGTCAGACACTTTAAGATGATAAAATACTATCATTATTTTTGTAAATGTGTTGATTCTCTATAAGACTACTCTTAAAAAAATGAAATCGATGCATTATAAAATACAAAACATATAAGATAAATGGTATACGGAAATATGGTATATCTGTATATAGCTGAGATAAAAAATAATTAACCAATAACCTTTTCCATAGTAGAAATAGGTGTGCATGATGGTGATTTATTTCATAAACGTAGGTGGGCTGAAATTAAAAAAAAGAACGTTGTGGTTTTAATAAGTCTTGTTTTACTCCATAGATTGTTATCTCTTTATAATAAGTTATTCTTTCGTATTTTCTAATATCATGTTAGATACGCCTACATGCATGTTTCAATGTTCATTTTCTAAATTAAAACAACAACAGATAGTCTTCAAGGTGTTTGTAAAAGGTGTGTGCATTGTCATCGTGGTTTCCTTGATTCTGTTTTTAGAATTATGATATAGCTTTAAAACTAGTTATAATTCATTTTTAGTCCCTACCGTTTTCATCAGAGGGGACTTTATATTTTCCCTCCGTCTGTCCATCCGTTCATCTGTCAATCAATCCGCGAAATCATGATCACGTGATTTCTCCAAAAGTACTAAATTTTTTTATGAAACTTGAAATATGGATACATGGCAGTATGGATATTGTGCATGTCTTTTCCTTCTCTCTTTTTTAAACGGGTTGCTTTGTTCAAAAATAAACTTAAAATATTGTAAATATAGCAATATATAATGATAACTCAAAAAGTACAGACATACTAAACTTAGAATATATATAGATGGCAGTATGAAAATATTGTACGTCATGACTTGCTCAACTATATGGAGAATATAAAGAGCTTTCATACACTCCCTGCTGATTGTGTCCAGATTTATGACTGGCCATGACCCTTCAGAATATTGCTGACACACTCCTTGTGAGGGCTCCAACCTGCAGGGGATTCTCGTTGCCTGTAAACTTTCGATTAACATATAAAAGCACATGTTAACCATAGCCATATGTTAGATTAAGGTGTACAGGAAAAATTCAAGGCAAATGTTTTGAATAAGCAATAATTATTTTTTCATTTATATTTTATATATATATCAAATTGCATGAATAAACAAAAACCCACGTGACTCATGGCAATTTTCGCAAATAATTTATTATTATATCAGTTATTTCAGTTTATTTGAAGACTCGGCAATGTTATCATTTTGTTAATATTGACTGACGGTCAATCACCTATATCAAAGTCGATGTACTGATATTATAGCTAATTTAGCTCCCTTTGGCAACATAAAAGAGCATGCAAAGTGCCACACGCATTTAGAATATCTATATATTACTGATACAGCTGCATAAATTTACCACAGTTCATGTGATTTGTTTTGCGACATTTATCTTTCTACATATGAAAACTACGTAAACAATATTATTTGCTTAATTTACAATCTAGCCAATTTAAAATGAGTGACCCCTAGAGAGAGAGGGGGGAGGCAAGGTGTAAGATTTATATACCTTTTGCCGAAGGCAAGAAGATTCCGCTACGTACCTAATGTTTAAGGCCTGGACATTGTTGATTTTGAGAAAAAATATATTTGATATAACTTTCCTATATAATGTGTAAAACTACTACAGGTTTCATTTCGTTTGCCAAAAGGCAATTCAATTACATTTTCAGAACATTCACGAGCAATAACAACTTTCTTTATGTGAAAACTGCTTTATGTTTGGAAGTGTCACGCATGAGCTTTTATATGCAACTTTATGTTAGATATTTATTCGATTCTCTTTTGGAGAGGCCATTTTACCTTCATGGGTATTATTCGGGACATTGTATTTTTAAGGGGAAACTATCTGTCCTTTATATCTCAGTAAATAAGATTCACACATGCAAAACATCTGAGTGGCATTGTAATTTCACAGATGACATTTTTAAAAAAATTCATTCATCGACTATATAGCTCTTGTGACCTTTTTCCACAGTTTTTCTAGAGGACAACTTAAGATAGTGTTTGAGATGTTGTTTGCAAAAAAATGCGGATTACCACACACGACTTATGATGCAATATGAACCTCATGTTATAACGAAAGCTCACCTATGGGCATTTTGCACGTTGAGCTTAAAGTGACATTATACTCAGTGTCAAGTTGAGCTTAATTATAACTATATAGTTCAAACTATGGACTGTTTTAATAATGAATGACAAACAGTTTTAGCGGCAAATTATTAAAGTAAAATAAAATCTTCCCTTAAATATAAATAGACTGCCCCGCTCTTTTTATAAATTGAATGTTACAGATGAATTCCAGTGGATATTTACAGAAATTTATTTGGGTCACATGAATTATCTATCGTACATGCAAAGTAAATTATAAAATTGAAAAGATTTATGGCAAATTGAAAAATTATTTTGACTTTTGCCTGTTCATATAATATATGCTCTTAGATAGGCATTATATCACTTTAAGTTATATTTGAACGTCGAATAAATAACTCGTAACACGGTAATTAATAAACTTGTTTTTCTTCAAATTTTAATCAAATGATATACACATGTGCATTAAAAAGTCATTAGCCAGTCAGTAATATAAAATATTTAATTTACAAAGTCACTTGTGTAATACGTAGCTGTATCTGAAAATATTTTAGAGTAGTAATATATTTTATGAAAAAGGAGTTAATAAGTGCAAGTCACTCAACATTCGAAAAACAGACATACGAAACACATTCAAAACGAATTAAAATAAGTATATTTTCCCATTTGCAAAATATTTGGTAGATATGACAATTATCATATCAACATATCATAATTTTATCGAGTCATATATGAATTTCAATAACGTACTACATTTGTTCAAATGATTATACTTGAAATATCGTGATTGGATAGAAATGCACACATAATAAGTAAAATTCAGTATGTAAACCTTGATGTGTCCACCGTAGTACTAACGTAACTCCTTGTGATTAGTGGTCTATAAACTAACTTTCAACAAGTTATGATAATAATTGTCAATACAAAGTTTTAAAGCCGCAACTCTTGTCATGAATGCAAAAAGTTTTATTTAATTCCATAAATATGATTCTCTCTCACACCAACATCTTAAATGTTATTTACTGTTCATTGGTACCTTTGGCTAAATAATGGTAAACATTATTTAATTGTCCATATATGTGTTATAGATGCGTATTCTAAATGAATGTCTTTGTGTACAGACCGTAAATCCATCTTTACTTGGAGATATTGTTTCTCTCTTCATCCAACGAGTACTTATAAACTGCTGAATGTGCTTAAGCATTGATTTTTTTCTATATTTACAATTTATTTATCGTTTATGTCCTACTTAAAGCATCACATACACACACATTCTATTTCAAAAGTTTCCAGCGAACCCATGCGATGTCGGCGGCGAATTGTAATTAGTTTGTTTCTTAAATATCCTTGTGCACATGGCGGTATTAAATAGCGTGTAAATCAACGGATTGGCGGCAGAGTTCAAAGGTGCAAGGCTTTGAATAAACGTGCTTACGGCGATCACATCTTGTGACATTGTAATATGGCCGTAAACCGTTAACAAATCCCAGATAAAGTATGGAGACCAACACAGGATGAAAGCTGGAATAGAAAATCATCTGAATCATTCATTGGAGATCGTAAACAGTTCAATCAGTCAAACACAACATGGCTTTTACAACATAAGATTCCGTTATCAATATATTGAAACAAGAACTGGATAAGGAGTTTAATCTTGTAAAATTGCAGAATAAGGTGTAATTAAATTTCCTTAAATACACATACAATGTAACGTAGTCGATACAATTTCCACTAAATTAAACATAATCAAAGAACTGCAATGTCTACGTCATGTTATCGTTAGTTTCGTAAAATTAAAGAACATTATAAACAAGACTGATCTGATGAATAGGCAACTTTTCACTGGTTGGAATTTGATTTACGTAATATTATCAAATGCAAACATCAAAGATATATATACCAGTCACATTAAATGTAAATACAAATGTATAAAATGTTACAAAATTGCAGGCTTACGTATTGGGACTTATAAAATGCATAGTTCAATACTTAAATATTGTGAAAAGTCATTAAATCTGTTTTAATTTCATTAACTTTACGCCACAAATTATGATAACTTTTTGTCATCTTTAAATCTAAACAAAATACATACCTAAAACTATAACAAAGGTCATTTTGATTGTTTTTATTTTTGCTTTTGGGATTAGTCCTCTAGAACTGGAAGCGCTCATACACTGTGTCTTAGTTTTTGATGAAGCTGTAAAACGTACAGTGATTGACCCTGTAAAAATTGTAAACGAAACTAATATATTTTCAACAAATTTATAAAAATAATTGTTTTTAAGAACCTACAATGCAATTAAAGAATCCTTAACGATGAAAGGTTGCATTTACTTCTGCTTTAGTTTAGATAACATATTTACAAGTTTTGTGGCGACGTGGTTGAGTGGTTAACAGTGTTTTAAGGATTGCCGGCCGCGTTGGTTCAAATCCCGTCAAGCCCTTGTTCCTTGAGCAAGTAACTTTACACTACCACTGGTTGGTTCTTGGAACGGATTTGAGAGGGTTTCACTGTACTTATAGCTTCCAACACAATCTCTTTTTTTTATATTTTTGAGGTTTGTTTGTTATTTTTCTTTTTCAACTAAATATTCACAACAAAACTTGTTAGGTTTTACAGTAACATTTATATTTTCTAATATGACCATGATCACAGTATAACTGTACAACGCCGATAATCTTTATTAAAATAATTAACATGATTTGAACTCGCATCACTAATGGTAAATTGACAAGAAGTAGTGTAATACTAAAAATCAACAGAGATCTATGTAAAATAGTTTGCAAACGTTTATAGATTTTCTCACTTTTATGAAGTGAATCTAGATGATTTTATTATAGTTTTCTTTTGTGCAATCTGTTGGTGATAAAACATATTACGTCTGAAAGGTACAATAACTTAATACTTAAATAATAGGTTTTTTTTTGGTTCCCAATAGTGTAATAAAAACAACCACTTTTCATCTCGATATTTCTTGAGACAGTATTCTTCAACTCTTTTCAAAACTGCTTCTCAAACAGGTAACATTTTTAATGACGGGCAAAGTATTTCAAAAAACATATTTGCAATAAATGTACCGCATTCATTTATGATTATGTGTATTAAAAATCTTATCATCAATGAAATTAAAAGACGAATATGAAAGATTACAAACCGTTTTCCGATAAGCATCTTGTTTTTTCGCTGCAGCCATTTTCAGGCGGTGATTTAAATTTCATGGAAGATTTGCTCCAGATGATGACGACGATTATGATGTAACAGCTCGCGATTATAATGGCGGGAATTATGAACACGGCAAACGACACAAGGGTCATATACAGCTTGAAATAGAAAACACTTATTCATTACACATACAATAAAAAGTGAAAGAAACATTGAAAATAACAAGAAAAGTGTAAGGGATCCCTTTATTGATTTGATTTACTTAATAAAAAGTGTGGAAAAAAGCAATAACAGTTTAAAGTAACTACATGTATTATAATGTCCATGTCTTTGATTTTCCAGGAGCCAAGCAGAAATAAGAAATTGACGAATAAGAATCAACGAAAAGGGAGTACGTGATTGAAAGAAATATATCGGACAACAATGTACGTATGTTTTCAAAACCTGGTAATAATATTTGTACTGACGTAAGTATTGAATAATATCTGGGAAAATGCAATCCAAAATATGCTTCTTTATCCGAAAATGCCTTAATGTTACTGACGATACCTGATATAAAACAAAACGTGAACTGACGGGTCAATCCCTATATGACGCTTTGTGGCCCTAGTTGATTCTACTATAGCTTGCATGACCTTATTGATCAAACTTTTGATTGAAGGACATATTTGATTCTATTTAAGGACCTAACTGATTCTGTTTTTCCTTGAAGGACTTTTTGATTTCTACTTTTGCTTGAAGGACCTTATTGATTCTATTTTTGTTTGAATAGTCATCTAACGAATGTTAAGCATTTTCAGATAGAAATAATATCAGAAGTGTGAATCTTTTTTTCATCACACGTTTTGAAGTAAATATATGACCATAAAAACAACAGAAAATTAGAAGAAACACAATTTAATAAAATTAGCAGAAATGTGCATGCACATTTGAGATTGACATTATAGTATGCCCGTTGTGCAAATATGCAAATCAAAGCAAATATACCGACAACATGTAAAATGATTTGATCAGTCAAAGATATTGTAGACAATCAATTAACATCCATTTAATCAGGACACCTACTAATAGCAAACGATATATACGTTTGATGTTCTTAATGTGGATAATTTTGATGAGAGATTTGGAATGCATTATCATTTTTTTAATTTTTAAATTCCCACACTTTTAATCTTATGACATTTTAATGATAATATTACGACAATATAGAGACCAAAGTACTTAATTCGCTAGATATTACTATAGGCAATCTAGTAAATGTCATTTGATACGTGGTTTTATTAACTTTATACTATCCTACAAATTTTTTTTACTTCGAAATAGATAGGGGAAAACGCTATTGCTAAAAGTTTTACAAAATGCATCATTAACGGAATAAAGATCTTGTCTGCAATTAGTAAGGAACATTCCCTTTAGCAATCCAATATTTGTATGATCATTTTATCATATTTACAGTGTAACTCATTTTTAAAACGTTTAAATTAAATTTTAATTGTGTGTGTTTGGTACAACGCATCTCTAAAACGTTGAAATAATAATTTTTTTGTAAATTAGTGGGATTAGTGCGGATGCGCAGGCTGCTCTGGCTCCATGCTGGTCGCAAACGCACTATGATGGTTTTGTTGTGACGCTGCTCAAATTATGTAACCCGTACCTGCCACATCCACGGGTCTTTTAGATCCATCCAGCACTGAGGTATATTGTCTATCATTTGTTCTTCGTACATAAAGAACATGGGTACAGAAAATAGTCCGGCAAACATCCATGCTAATGTCACAAGTATCCTGCATCGTTTTTCTGAAGGGAAATATGATAAATGTTTTTACACTATCTAACTTGAGTAAAATACGATACATTTTTTACACTAGTTGTGTGAGAAATGAATATTTTACTTATTATCATGATGTGAAGGCTTTTTGTGAAAGGAACGGTACTTCTACAGTTAAAAGCTTTTTACCAAACGACAGCTACATGTTTTGATAAATGGATTGTATTTCTGAAAATAAGGAGTCAAAACCACGGGGACCTTTTTTCTTTCTCTGGATAAAAGTGGTGTTTTTCTTAATAACGGGAACGAAAAGCGTTAACTAAGCAAATAACTTAAAATACACATACATACAAATAATTCATTTATCATTAAAACTCATTTGGATATAAACCAGAATTGAAATTTCATCTCTGACCTTCATAGATGGTAATATTGTATCAAAATACACTGTTTTACAAAATTTTATAAACTTACAGCTTTTAACCTTTATAGCAAAAGTGGTGTCTACGTGGGCGATTAAGTTTTATTTGGTATCAGCCTTAAATTCGTTATTTAACGTTTCAAATCATTCCAGTTTGACATCGTATATTTCAGATTACAACAAATGAATTCTGTATCCCGTAAAAGGTGGAACTCGTTATTTAATAAGACGGTATTTATTTTTGTACTTGCCTCTGGCAAAGACTATTTGATGGGATTTCGAGACAGAGTGAACGTATATTGAATTGTACGACAATTTGTCTAGGAGACATTACCTCCTAGTGCATTGCTTGAAATGTGATTATGTTTGCCAAGTCCTAATTAAACTTTGTAGACATTAATTTGCTCCCACCTATGACATGTTACATTACGTTATTAACATTAATGAACTTGTATTGATTCATGGTTGAAAGTAAAAAATCAAATTGCACGTGTGTCAGGATATGCACAAACTTAAGTATGTGAGTATCAATTAGCGGACGTTATCGTTGAATTTAGTATAAACTAAGGAGAAATAAAGTTCGATACTTTGCAACTTAGAAGCTATTAGATATAATGACAATGGACTAAGGTGTTATTCAAGGAGAAGAGAGAGACAAACAACTTTTGTTTTTAGATTATGTAAAAATCTGAATAAAGCTAGGTCCCTCGGAAGCATTAATCACAACAAAATTATATGAAAAGTACAGACTCGGTGTGATAAGTCTTTCAATTCCAAGTTATATGTTGTTGTTGTTGTTTTCTTATAGGAATTTGACTTATTTTCTTGCATACTTATAAGCACATATCTAATTTATTTTTGAAATTACTGCTAATAACACATCTGTTGATGAACCATTTGAAGGACAAAATGTCTCAAACAAGAAAGGACAAATATGAACTAATTAAGATAAGAATATGATTTGTCTCATTCAGTGTAGAATAAAATTTTTATTTATAATCCTGAAAGAAACGTATTCAAAAGTATGTTTTACCTACTCCTGCCATACTCATTGGTCTGGCAATAGCATCAAATCTATCGATTGACAGGGCAACAAGTGAGTATGTCGCACCGTATGTTGCTGCGCATTGAGCAAATTTTACGACTTTGCAACCGATATTTCCAGCATGCCATGTAATTGTCGCCTTCCAAATTATGTCAGTTAGAACCATTAAACATCCGACAGACAAATCTAAAACGTAAAATATTAGGCAATAAACAATTAATAAAGCTACGTGATACAGATTATTGAATACAAGAAAAGGTATTAAAGTATATTTCATCAACAACAACAAAAAAAAGAACAAAAAAGAACAAAAAATGTAAATATGTTAATTGTAACAAGTTGAAATACTTTGATGAATAAAATTCATGTGTTAAAACATCATCAAAATATCAAAGTTTACATTTAAAAATTATGAATGATTATTTTCTTTTTTTACTGAATATTTGTATGAAGATCGATCGTACTAATACCCATGTCAAACCAATCAATATGAGTAAGAACAAACCTGCACATGCCAGATTTATCATGAAGAAATTCATTCTTGAGCGTCGTTTTCCGGATGATATTATTGCAAGAAGAACCAAGGTATTTCCAATCACGATCATTGCAAACAGGATACACAAAAATATTAATTGTTCAGCCTGTAACGAGAACATGATAAACAAAATATGAATGTGTCAGTCTGAAGTGGCTACAGTATACACGCAACTATCAATTATTCAGCATGTTAGAACAAAAGGATATCGTTAAGACTTAACGTTAACGTGATATACAAAAATATTAATATTTTTGCCTTAAATGGTGGGGAGACACGCACAAATATTAAGTGTTTAGCCAGTTATGTCCACAGGATATACAAAATAACGATTCTTTAGCCTGCAATGGCATCAACCTACACAAATAATAACTTTTCAGAGTGTTAAGACAAGAGAATACACAAAACATCAATTTTATAGCAAGTAACGTTAATGTGATATACAGAACATAAATCATATCGCCTGAAATTACGGTAAGACACACAAAACATCAATTTTTCAGCATGATAGCAAGATACACAACATCATTTATTTAGCCTTTTACGATGACAATACAAAACTATCATCATATAACGATTGATTAGATATCAGACTGCTTTCTCTTAATTTCAACAGTTGAAAGAGCTTTTTTGCAGACTCCAAACGCATGAATGACAGACAAACTTTTAAGAAGAATAGAGACATTTGCTTAGAAAAGAAGTATATAATGGTAGATGGAAGGGAATGAGAAACTGCATCAGACAATGATTTATATTATTACAAAACTGCGACAAGAAGCTGTGCCTCACTTCTTTCTGGTTTCATAATTATGTAAATTTCTCCTAAGTGTGTTTCCCAAACATTAAGATTCTTATGCTAGAATAAAATGATCGATGAGAAAATCAGACGTATTTGTTCCACTGATTATGGGCCAATTTTGCGGGAACGGAAGATGTTTCTTCAGAGTCACTTGAATTCATTTGACCTTTGCTGCTTTTCCCAGGACACTTTAGTAATGAATAAGATGTTACGAATGTTTAATTCATAGAATAGAAACTTTGACAATGTGATTATTGTATGTTGTTTATTTGCAGGTCCTCTGCACGGACTTCCTTCTTAATTACTCTTCATTTTTCTGATTCTTAGACGCACTATTCGTACGGCATCGTTCTTATATATGTTTGTTTCAAATACTGTTCAATCATATGTCTTCAGTATTGATTTTAAAACATGTATTGATAAGAGAAGAAATTGAGAGAACTGCAATTTATGTGAAGTCATTTAACCTTATCATAGATAACAGGTATATAATCTATCAAAAAACGCAACAATTTAGTTTGTAAAAGAAAGTCCTTAATGATTAATTGCCTCAGGCTGAAACGGTGAAAAGGCATGTACAAACATAAACTGAAAAATTAAACATTCTAAAACACATGGACTTTGATGTTAACTGCTTTATATATCCTTGTTATATTAAATCGCAGTTTATAGTTAAAGTACATGAAAAAACGATAAAAGATGAAGTATTGGATTTAAATTGAACTTGGCAATTTATTTATCTCTGATCACATGATCAGAATATGTGTAAAAGCTAAATTGTGAAAGAACAATGATTGGATTAAGACATTTCCTGATATAAATATATCACAAAAAAGTGTTTCTTAACCACACTAGGTTGCAAAATAGCTCTTATCTGTGACTGCCAGCCTCCATATAATATAATTAGTATCCAGCATAGTGAAAGGAAGTTCAGAGGATTTGTCAATCAATGTTTTGAATCCTGTTAAATTCGCTTCTTCTTTCGGAGATTTAACTGATACAAATATGAGCCGCGCCATGACAAAACCAACATAGTGCGATTGTGGATGCAGACAAGCCTGATCGGAATCCATGCTGTTCGCTTACAAACCCTATTAGAATTAGAGAAACTGATAGCGATCATGACCAGAGTGCGCGGATGCGCAGGCTGGTCTGGATGCAAACGCACTATGTTGGTTTTGTCATGGCGCGGCTCATATGAAAAGATCCATTACAAATGCTACTCCATCATGAGTCCTTTGTTGTTTTTAGCTCTAAGAGTACAATATAAAGTCACAAATTCCCCAAGGAAAATTCTTAAAATAAAAAAAAAACATTCTGTGAACAAACCTTCAATAAATCTGGTTTTAAGAAACATCAAAAACATCATCTTATTTAAGTTGATGTAAAGTAAATGCTTTTTGTTAAATTTAAAACAAATTTAAATGTTTTTTGTCTTATTCTTCAATTTGACTGATATATTTTATCCTCAGTAGACTGAATAAATTGGTATTGAAGAAAAGTATTTTAAATAGATATCTACGTATTAAGTTAATGTGTTACTAAATTATCTAGGGAATATATGTTATGAAACATTGTGCCATAGTGCCTTTAAAATAATCAAAAGACTTTTAAACGCCATTATTTAGATATTTCAACCCCTTTTCGGCATTTTACACTTTAACACCCCATCTTGGGAAATGAAAGAGGTATGTTAATGTAACTTCAATCTTTAAAGCGTTACTACTTTACATTTACTTACATAATCAATCAAAGAGCTGAAAGCACAGGGTAAGACAGACAAGAATAGAGAAATTGCGTAAATGTTGTCACAATGGACCAAAAATTAGTCATGTTGCATCAAAATATTTCTAAATTCACAAAGGACAGTAAAATTCTATGCCAGAGTTTTATGGGGCTCAGAAAATGACCTCCAATTATGACGTTTCATGGGAATAGTTCCAGTTTTCTTTCGAAAACTGATGTTATAATTATAACTTTTCAAATGAATATCACCAGTAAACACATGTAGTTCTGAAGATTGATGTTGCTTGCAAAACTGTATTAAGAATTATCTTACTTCACAAAAGGCCATTTATTCAGTCTAAATCTATGTTAGATTCATTGGGTTCAGAGTGTGGTCTTTAATGTAATTATGATTCTGAAAACATATACATTTGTATTAAGTTTCAAAGTTATACCCTCAGTTGTTCTGAAAACATTATGTTACATACTAAGTCTTAACCAATAATTTTCCTGTCAACAAAGGGCTATACATCAGTCAAAATCTATGTCAGATTATTGATAAATGGACCTCTATTTATGGTCACAAACACATGTTTTAAGATTAAGGTAGATACCTTCAGTAAGTTAACAAAGTTCATATATTTTTAGTTTCAAGTGAATACCATAAGTACAAATGATCATTAATCTTCAATGATATTACATGGAAACTTTAAGCAGGATTGTTTTGGTTGCAAAAATGCGCCATAGTTCCGTCAAAATCCATACTAGGGTTATTGGTTTTGGAACTTCGACCGGAAGAAGAATGTAGCAATCATTACTATGCTTAGTGGAACATATGATCTTCGTTTGTTTATTTATCATTCAAATAACAAACGTTCCTTGTAATTAAACTGGAACTTCAACGCTTTCAACACATCCGACATAATGTGCGTGGTTTATATGATTAGATATTGTACTATTTGTTTGGCAGTTATTTGGTTAGGATCATCTACATTCTCGGTTGTAGTCATTGCATAGCTCCATTCGCGCCTGATGGCGCTCTCGTCGCAAAAGGTAACTTAAACTAACATATATTACGGTTATAACATAAATAACACATATAACAGAAAAAGTAAACTATTCTTGTCATTACATTTGAGTTATGTTTACTTTGTTTAAATGTAATTAATACATCTAAATATTCAGGAAATCAGTATTTGAGCAAATTTAAGAAAACCACTCTAAATTACAATGCAGATCATATTGCTTTTAAATTATGTTCCCTTTCCGTTTCTAAGACAGACCATGTATTGCTCCTTGAGAATATATGCTTGAATTGGAATTGATCATTTTTTATTTCTGTCAAATACTGTCAATTAAAGTAAAGATATAACACGGCATCGGAAATTATAACAGACAAATTTGCGTTAAAAGAGAAGATAAATGCAATACTCTTATCATTAAGAATTGTTGTCACAGTAATCATGTTAGAAAAAAAAGAAGAGAAAAAAGGTCTATTGAATAAGATATGGCAAATTTACGGTACATACTTACTCAATTGAATATTCTAGAGAGAAAACATCTTTAAAATATTGCAATTACTCCTTGTAAAATAAACACACATGTAACATTTGTCAATTAAAGCTTTACCATGTTTTATATACATCAAAGTTAAATAAATCTTTCAAATGAAAACAATATTGATTAATTTAACACATTGTTTCAGGCAATGTAATGACCATAAACCAATCAAGAATATATCACCTAGAATGAAAGATAGATCGAAACAACATTCTATAACAAGACGTAGATTAAAACCTGTCGTTTAGATTTTAATTGTAGAAATTGTTAACAAATCATAAATAATTTCTTAAACAAGTATAATTATGTTGATAAGAAACGTTATAGGATTATATTTAAATTTGCATTTACTGTCAAATACATGTACAATAGACTGTACCACTAAAGTGTTAGATTGTTGTTGCTGTTCTCAACATGATAACATTTTTCAATATGAATTCTTTCAGAAATAGTCAACATTTACCAAATGGTCGAAATTAATTTTTATTTGAATATTTTGATTTAAATACAACTGTGTCATTTATTGTTGCCCATTGTTAAACGACACAATAAGGTATTAAAAAGAAAGGGTTTTTTTAACAATGAACTACCCAGAAGAATCATTTATCTGTATTCGACATTAACAGGAAGAAATCCTCTTGTTGGAATAATAACAATATTACAGAAAGTATGTTTTAAACAATGAAAAATGAAACCACTTCTCAAGTATAATGATACTCCAAATTTCAACATGTATCAAATTTCTAGTTGTTTGCTGCTTATTTTACCAATCACAAAAACACATATACACATTCAGAATTGATCGATTTGTAATCAAAATAGCCTATAGTACATTTAAACATCAGTATTTCAATTTTACGTGATAGGTTTCAAAGTAGAAAGGAATCATTTGATTTCAGAATACGTTAATGGCCAATATGTGCAGATTTAACTTTTTATAATAATTGAACCTATACAAACTTAAACATAGAGGATATTGAATGAGTGCAGATTTAATACTATATTTTGTTCAACGAGTTAAA